CACCGGGCGCCCTCCGCGGCGGGGCCGGGGGCGCACAGGCCGGCCCCGCCGGGAGGGCCCCCCGAGCGTGGGCGGAGCGCCGGGCGCCCTGTGCGCTCCGGCCAGAACAGCCCCAGCCCCAGCCCCGCGGCTGCGCTCGCCTCCAGGAAGCCATTCTCCGCCCGCCCCCGCTGCGTTCCGCGGGTCTCCGCCCGGGACGGTTTGGGACGTGCTCGCCGAGAGCCAGCAGGCGGGGCGAGGGGGCGCGAAGGTCTCCCCTCGCCGGCTCGCTCCCTGAGCAGCTGCGCCCCAGTGCCCCGCTTCAGGTTGGCCGGCTTGGGAAGCGGCAGTTCCCCGTTCCGTCGTGGAAAGCAGAAGTCCCGCCGGTGCGGCTTGCCTCCGTTTCCATGTTCTTGCAGCGTTCCTGCGTGTCGCTTGAGGACGAGAGCGGCTCCCCAGGGGCGCCCAAAAGTGCGAAGTCTGCCGCTGCCCTACAGGTGGCACAGGCTCGATGCGCAGGGAAGCGGGATGGGCGCCGTGCCTTCCTGCGCTGCGTCTCCGTGGCGCTGCCGGAGGGGCGAGGGGGCCTTTCCTCGTCGCTTCTGCTCCCCCGCGACAGGCGCTGTTGCACATGGGAGCGCAGCCACCCACTCTTTCGCCGAATCGGGCTGCTGGGGCGCTCCGGCACGACCCGAAGCCTGCCGTGGACAGCGGTGGGCCTGCAGGCTTGGCCAAAGCCCCCTTTCCGCTCCACAGGTTCACTGCCCTTGCCGCATCATCTCAGGTGCCCAGCTGGGGGGCTGCAACGGTCACCCATGGGGAGGAGAAGCAGAGAGGTGATGGCTGCCTGGCCCCAGAGGCCTTGGGGCGGTTCCCTTCAGAAAGGGGGGCTCGGGGCAGAGAGGCCCTCCAGTTGCCTGGCAGGTGCCCCTTGGGGCTCAGCCTCCCGGAGCCTGGTGCCCATGGCCTCTCCTGGGATCCCTGCGGTGACACTGAAGGGGGTTTGGGAGCAGCGAGGGCACCAGGTTCTTGGAGGACGACACAGCCTGACCGAACCTCTGTGCCCAGGCGCAGTCTACCTTGGGCGGCGACTTTCTGAATGGAGGCACCAGGCTGCATGCCCTGCCTCTGGGGCGGCTGCCTGCTCGCTGCTCCTGCAGGACTTGGGAGAAGCCGCGTCCTTGCAGCCTGCAGGCAACACCTTGCCCTCCCCTCTCCGGCTGGGACTGGCCGTGGCAGCGGCCCAGAGATGCGGCCATGGCCCAAGGCCTTGCTGGCCGCTTGTCAAGGCACGCTGGGTGTGCGCTTCCTCCTGCGTGCAGCCTTGGAACTCGCCGTTCCCACGCCGGTGCCGGGCCCAGCAGTCAAAATACGTTTATCTCAGGAGGTCTGCCGAGGGGGGAATCCAGCCAAGGAGCCCGGCGGCATGGCGGCCGGTTTTGTCATTATGCCCTAATGGGAGGGAGCCAAGGAAATTCGGGGGGAGGGGGCAGCACTGCAGGACACGGGAAGGTCATGGCGCTCGTGGGCTTTTGTTCCGCACAGAACTGGTTTGTCCTGTTGAGAGCCTTTTAATGTTATTCTTTTATTTCCATCTCCTTGGCTTGAGAAGCTTAAGCAAGCGGGATGTTTTCCCGTGGGATTAATTAGGAGCCTGGCTTGCCAATGGGGCTACAGGGTCCCCTGCAATTTGGGACGTGCGTCGTGCAGAGATCCGGCGGAAGCTGGGGCCTGCGCCTGATCGCAGCTTTCTGAGGCCTGGTAGTTCAGCCCCCACAGGCACACCGTGGCCTTGGGTTTACAACCTGCCTGCAAGGCCAGCCTCCCTCACCAGCTGCCCTCCAGATGCACTAGGATCGAATCCCACTTGGCCGCGGGATGTAGAGAACTGCCGTCAAGCACATCCAGCAGTGGCCAGAGAATGCACAAGCTTTACTGCCGACGCAGAATTGATCGTCAAGCAGAGTGGCAAAAGAGCTGATTCTTGGTGGAACTTGCAAATGCGGGGAATATCCCAGTGCGACCCTTTAAAACCCTAGCAGGAATATTCCTGTATCACAGATGGTATTTGCAAGGCTGACAAAACACACCAGGCTCCTGCCCTTTGATGGAACCAACTTGCAGAAGGCTGCAGATGCATTCTAATATTCCGAGTAGCCTCCAGCAAGATATATTGCCTACATTTTCCCAGCGGCCGCTACCAGCTTGCTGTGCATTTGTTGGCTCGTGCAAGCTTCAAGGTTGCATAGGTCTCTTCATGCAATAGCAGAATAGCATTTTCATCGGCCATCTGCTCTGATGATGCTGAGCAGTGAGATGCTGCCTTCTGAAAGGAAGGGTGCTGTGTGACTCCAAAGCAGACGCAGAACTTTGCCCCGTCCAGAGAGGTAGATTCGAGTCCGATCCCTTCTGTCTGTGCCTCTCAGGTAGTCGGGTGTTCTTTGTTCCACTGTCTGCTCATTCACAGGCACCATGTGCTCCCCATGAAAAACCAGTCCACTAGTCCACAGGCCCTGCGTGACTGGGACAGAGCTGGCCCGCTGCGGGACCCTGTGGCAGTTCCACAGCGTCCCTCCCTCCATGCTCAATAGAGCCTTTTATCTGGACCCTGCCTTTGCTCTGACTTGACCTGAGAAACTGTCTCTGTGCATGTTGGAGGGGAGACCAAACCGGAGGTGCGTGGCTTCTGCGCCCGAGTACGACTCTCTTTCCAGGCTGAAGGGTGCGGAAAGGAGGCGGGCGGCCAGGCGGCTGCATTCCAAGGAGGCTGGCCTCTCGCACGTCCCTCCTTCTCCGGGGGGGGGGGTGGCCAGATCGCGGGGGGGTGCGGGGGAGGGTGCACAGAGAGGGTCTCCTGTGGCAGCGTGGAGGGATGCTTCAAATACCAAGCATTGTCATTTGGCCTCCGCCCCCACAACACTGTGCCAGCGTGGACACTATTAGAATAGACACCGCCTTTGAATGGTGAGGGGGCGTCTCTTTGCTCGCCTCCCCACTTCCCTTCCCAGGCACGATAAAGTTTCCGGCTGCAGCCCTAAGTCCAGCTGGGACGCGACGGAGACTGGCTTCCAAGCAAAACAGCGCTGGATGGTCCCAGAAACAGTGCTCGGAACGGACCTCTGGAAGGAGCGTGGCGTGTCCAGCGCCGCTTCGTAACTGTCGGGGGGAACAAAAATGCTGAGGCACATCTTGTTTAGACCAGAGCTCTCGGGGTGGGGGGAAGCACCCTCCCACAATTATTCCCGGGCCCCCACATCTCCAGCTGGGTGCGAAGCTGCCGTTTTGAACAATGGGGTGTGTTTCGTGGTCAGTCGAGGCACCTTTCTGCCTGCGGACATTTCAAGCGGCTGGGCAACCGGGTGCAGAGACGGAGGCGTCCTGGCCTGGCTGTCAGTGCCGCGGCTGTGGGAAGAGGAGACCTGCCACCTCCCTTTCGGCCCCCGTGGGAAAGAAACAAACGGAAGACAGGTGCTCTTTGGAGCACCTCCAAAAATGGGGTATGTGCGCGTGGCCTGCCCCCGAGACGTGGACGTGCGTGGCCCAGGCTTCCCGTCAGGTTCCTCGCCGTGCTCGGCGGCGCAACTGAATTAGCACAGCTTGCCCCCGGAGAGCTGCGAGGGCTCCCCGCCTGCCTCCTTTCGTCACTCTGAGCGGATGGTTAATGTGGCTAATGGCCGCCGAGTGACTAATCCAGGGTGTGCGCGGAGGGCGGGGGGATGTCCTTGCCACAGGCCCGCTTGGCCCTGTGGGGGCTGCTGCTCTGCCCCGGGGGCCATGTGCTTGCGCCCCGCGTGGTGCTTTTCCTGCACGCAGGCCCGGGCTGCTTCGGTGTGGGCGCTCCAGTGCGCGAGGTGGTCCCTGTGGGGCAGCCGGCAGGGCAGCCGTGGCTGAGCGCTGCACCCAGGCCGCGGAGCTGAGGGGGCAGTGCCGGCCGCGGAGAGCCCCGGAAGGCAGCCGCCGGCTTCCCGCTGCCCTGAACCCTCCGCATCGCTCTCTCCCTTCCTCCTAGTACATTGGGAGCCTGGACGTGCCTAGACCCAACAGCCGCGTGGAGATCGTGGCGGCGATGCGCAGGATCCGGGTGAGTCAGTGCGCACGTGCGGCCCTCCTCCCCCGTGCTCCGTCTGCTTCCTGAACAGCGGAGCTGGTGGGGAGGCAAGATGCTCCGGCTCCCCCCCCCCCCGCCGCCTTCCTTTCGCACCAGCAGGCTGGCTGGCAAGCACCGCTCTGCCTCCGTTCCCAAGGCCACGGATAGTCTCTGTGCTGGAATGGAGACAAAGGCTCTCCAGGCAGCCGGAGAGGCCGCACTGCGAGAAGGCTGGCCGGGCAGACCGAGGGCCCTCTGTGGGGCTGGCCGGGTCCCACACCGGGCGGTTGTGCCACGGGGCTGGGCAGGTGCAGCCTCCGGGCCTCCAGCCGGCCTTGCTTCCGTCGCCCGCCCCTGGATTTGCAGGTCGTGGGAGGAGAAGACGGGGTGCAGCTCAGGGCTCCCCATTCTGGGGAAAGGTGCCCGAGGAGGGCGGATTCCTCCACCCGAAGCAGAGCCCACCCGGACGGGAGGGTGGGCAGAGGAGCCACAGCTTCCCAGCTGGGTGCAGAGCTGCGTATGGAGCAGAAGGCAGGTTGGGTGGGAGGCGGTGGGCCTGCCCCTTCGCTACGGCAAAGCCAGGCCCGAAGTAATGCTTTGTTTCAATAGCAAGTCTTCCTTTTGGATTATTATGAGATGCACGGAGTTCCAGGCCTTGCCATGATCCTCTGAGCTAGAATTAATCCTCTAGGCTGCAGCTCCTTCCCCGATTTTGGCAGCGTTTGCCATGTCATTGCTGCCGCGAAGCCGAAGAGTAGTGGCCGCTCGCGAAATGACGGCACGGCCCACAGGTGGATGGTCCTTCTGTCCCTCGGAGCAAAGCCACGCCAATTAAGCGTGCGGCCGATGATCCCAGATAATTCTGCTATGTCAGAGAGGCGGACCTAGCCCACCATCACCCGATACGCACGAATAAATCGGAGCCCAATCCTCCTGCTGGCCCTTGACCCTCGGGGTTTTAATACCTCACTCTATGGCCCTATAGCCAGTGCTCTCCGAGCAGGTCATAACTGAACCCCTAAAGCAGAAGCTGGGATGCACGATGGAAGTTTAAAACAACAGTGTAACAAAGACGACACACGTTAAACCTAAGCCTAGCTGCTTTGCGCAGGGTTGAGAGGCAGTAAAGGGCTTAAACCGACAGAAGCAAAAGCTGCTGGGAGAAATGGGAAGGTGGAAGAGCAAAACGCGGGAGGTGGGCCGGGCGAGCCTCTTTGGGGGGGCCGTTCCACAGCCCGGGGGCCACAACAGAAAGGGCCGTGGCAGCGCCAGAGGCTGCCCGGGAAGCCTTCTGCATGCAGGTGGCGGCGGCTGTGCAGAGGCCCCTTGCACACCGCGTGGCACCAGCAAGAGGCCCGGTGACGCAGCAGAGCGGACTGGCCCCCGAGTGAGGGGGCTGCACGGGCAGCCGGCCAGGGCTCTGCGCAACGGCACACGGCTTGACGCGCTTCGTGGGATGTGGACGGAGAGCAAGAAATGTTCTGTCCCGGTGCCACACTTCTGCAGAGAAAGAGGATGCTTGTTCGAGGCGCCAGCCGCACGAAACCACTGTTCGGGGGCAGGTTGGCCTGCCCCAAATCACCTTTGGCCCCGGCAGCTAAGGGTTCTTACACCATTCGTTGCCAGGGTAAAGGAGGGGGAACGTATCTGGGGAAAAGGCGGCTGTGCAGTCATTAGGCCTGAGGGAGAAAGCAGAGACTTCTTGGCTCCTGCTTTCCACTGGGTGACGCTCTCCTGTTGCACCGTGTCTCGTTGTCGTCCCCAGAGCCACGTGCTGTGCCCCTACAGATCACACCAAAAAACCTTTTGGCAGCACTGGTCTTTCTGGGACAAGATCTGTGCTGAGAAAAAACACACTTTTCTCCCTGGCACTGTAGACGTGGGGGCTTGCCTGCTGCAGAACATTCAGCTTTCTGATCACAGAGGCGGAGATATTTTTAGCTCAGGACTCCCAGGCTGCGCCATCCCCCTTCAGCGTCGTAGGTAACGAATCCATGGCGCTTGGCAAGGGACACCCAAGGTCGTTTCTGCCAGCACACTGACATGGCCGCCGCTTGGCTGAAAGGCGCCTGGTGCCCAAGGGCAGAGCCATCGGCCAAACGCACGGTGACCTTTTTGCCAGAATAAACAGGTAGACATCCGTGCAATGCCGTTTGGCAACCAGAAGCTTAGCCACAAATCCTGTTTGCTGGAATTTGTGGGCCTGTCTCACACACAACGTGAACACAGAACAGCTGCATTGGGAGCTCTGGGAGGACGGTCTGAGCCACCCACAGCGTCTGCTGCCCACCAGCTAGAGAGGGCAGAAGTGGGGCAGGGGCTTGCCCCGGGGGAGCCAAGCGCCTAGGCTCCAGCGTGCACGAGCGCACCTCTTCCACCCCCTCTAGGAAGGGAATCGCAGCAGGAACTGAGAACAGAGCTGGATTTCGATGGCGACAAAGGCCCAGTGTCCAGCGCCCTTCCACCTGAGGTCCTGAAGCCTCAGGGAAGACTACCTGAAGGCTGTAGCCCCTCCCTAGCGGTTGATCTCCGGAATCGGCTGTCCGGAGAGAACCCGCCGCTTGGCAGCAGAGGCAGCATGAAGCTATCTTGGCTTTCCAGCCCTCTGAGTGCGTTCCGACCAGCCCCACCTCCGGCAGGAAGGCTGGCTTGGACGGCTGCCGCCTCCACAGGCCTCGTAGCTAGGGAAGCGCGAGAATGCACTTCCTGTTTATGCCTCCAGATGCAAAGTGCAACCAGAAATGCGGTCGGTGGGAGACGTTGGCAATTTCCTGAAGTTGCGTACGCCTTTGGAACGGCACCCTCCTGAAAAGGCACTCTCGGGGCGCGTGCTCGGGCGTGCGTTTCCCTCCGACCTGCTTCATCATGTTCTGGCTTATGGGAAAACGTGTAATTGTTTTCCAGATTGAAAAGGAGCAGTGTTCCAGTTTGGGAGTGGGGGAAAGGAAACGTTCCTGTTTGGGAACAGGAATGAAGTGAGCTGCGATTTTGGGGGGATGTTCAGAGGACCTCAAGAACGTCAGCGATCACGTGTCTGCCCGTGCCTGCCGGGGCCACCTTAACGAGTAGCAAGCTGCCACGGCAAAAGCGCTAATTGTTTGCAGCACAACCCGATCCGGCAGCACCCTCTGCCGCCCTGCCTCCTCTGCCTGGTCACACTTTTCTTCCTTATTTTATTTTATTTGGAGTTTTTGTATGCCGTCCCATCGCTTAACGCCTTGGGAAGGCCTACATAAGGGCTTTGGAAGTGGGGATTGAGGCTGGCAGAGAGTGAGGACTGCTCACCTCTGCTTTGCCAGTGGCCCACCTCACAGGGCTGTAGGGAAGGCCGTTCTGGCAGAAGGCCTGCATGCACAATGCTGCCCGAGGGATGGAGTGGAGCTGCCTACAAAGTTCTCTGTAAAATATTCTTTCACCACCGCAACCGCAGTTCCATCACTTGGATTATTCCGAGTCGTGAAGATTTACATGTGTTTTACATAATTTGCCAGTTCATCATGCAGAACACGGGGAGCCCCCTCTGCTCCGCAGGGAGCTCTGCTCAGCCCCGTACGGATTTTAACCTTATCTTTGCAGCCATAAGGACATTGGGGGAAAAAAACCCCAATCCTTTAGTAATCATAGAAAGTTGAGCTGCTGTGCCCCCCGTGGGGACCGCGTCGTGCACAGCCCCCTCCCCACTGCCATCTTTCCCTTCCCTTCCCACCCCCCGCCACACGGATGGGCATTTCGGTGGTTAAGCAGCACATGCCTCGGTGATGAATGCGCCATCTCTGAGCAACGGCGACCTTTGTCTGCCCTCCCCAGAACGGCCTGGCCGGATCCTCTCTGCGGGGGGGTGGTGCATCCCCCCGGCCTTGCTCCAGGCCAGCTTTCCCGGTCCTGGGTCCTCCAGAGGTGTTGGGCCGCATCCCCCCGCCAGGCACCCGGCGGTCCCAGGCTGGGGAAAGCCGGAAGAGGCGCTCGCCTTGAACACATTGCCTGCCCAGAAGTCCCGGGCTGAGGGTTGAGTGGCTGCTGCGCCCAAGGCACAGGTCTTGGCGAGGTCAAGAGAGGGCGACTGAGCTCTGCCCGGAGGCTGGGGGCTTTGGGCTGCCCCTCCCAAACCCAAAGCCTCCAGTGGTCGGGGCAGAAGGTGGCAGCGGCCGTCCCAGGCCTCCCGGGGCAGCTTCCTCTTTCGCGGCTGCCTCGGCAGAACTCGGGGCCTCCGGCAGGCTCCCCGGCCCGAGACGCGGGAGCATCCCGCTTCCTCCCCCTGCACGGAGCTGGACAGCCCCCGGGGCAGCTCCGGGGGTGCGGGCTCGGCCAGCGGCTGCTGTGCAGAAAGCCTGGGGGATCCCACAAGAGGAGGGGTCTCTGGGAGGGCCGGCGCCAGTGGGGCCGCCGAAGGAATCGGCCCGGCAGCTGTGCTTGCGGCCTCCCTGTGGCTGGGAGCGTGGGTGGGGCGGGGCGCGTGGGCCCCCAGGGAGTCTGCTCCCCCCAGTGGCCGGGTTGCGGGGCAGCTGCGGTCCTGGGACGGGGGGGGGGGCGCCAGAGCCCCTCCCCCTGCTGGGGCTGAGAGAAGATCCTCCAGCGCGCTTGCCAAACTGGATGGCGGGGACGGCCTGAGCTCCCCTTCCCGCCTCCCTCCCGACCTTGCAATTACATGCCTAAAATAGCTCCAGAGGCGGCGGGGAAGGGGGGACACACGGCTGCTTTTAGCTGCAGGCGGAGCTGGCGAAGGGAGAAGGGGCTGCTCCGAAGGGGGAGCAGCTGCTGCCTGCCAGCGCCAGCGGGAATCCGGCCCCCCCCCAGCGCCCCCTCGCCGCTCTCGTTCAAAGGAAAGCGCAGCCCCCGCCTCGCTGCTTCTGGTCGCTGGTGCCACACACCTGGCTGCCGAGCTGAGCCTGTCCCGATCCACAGTTTGTGGACTGATCAGAGGGCAGCTTGGCTGGGCGACGGGTGGAGGGGACCCCGAGCCGGTGTGGCCGGCGTGGCGCATGGGAACTGTGTCCCACACGCACCTCGAGGGCGACAGCCTGAGCGCCGTCCATCACTCCTTCGGGGTGGAGCATGCAAAGTGCCTCTGAGGATGTGCAGAGTGTGCTCCTCCCGCACTGAGCCAGTGCAGCCCATTTTCCGGGATGGAGCGCTGGTCCAGGGGTGCCCCCCACAAAGCACCCGTCGGGCCCCAAGAGAGAATTGTTCAGCCCAGGGCTGCGGCTCTCCCCTAATCGATGCTAATTTGGGGGCCGCATGGAGAGGGGGCGGTCTCGCTCACGCCGGCACGCGCGCGCGCGCGTGCACATACATGCCGCCTCAAATTCCGGAGCGCGACACGCCCTCGGCTCCTGCGCATCCCCACCAAAAGCACAGTGCAGTGAGCACAGGAAGCGCTGCAGAGCTGCCCCCCCCCACGCCCCGCTCGGCCCTATCACGAGTGTCTGCCGCTTCCTTCAGCGCAGGGATGGAGAGGTCCTGCCTGCTCAGTGCCCAGGGGAGAAGGGCACGTCCCTCTCTGGGGGGGTGGGCACGGGGGGAGGCAGCCAGCCAGGCCGTGGCGGGGGGAGCTCCAGGTGCACGGAGCCAGAGCTCCACAGATCGGGTTTTGGGACCAGGAGCCTCACGGCCCCGTCTGCCCCCTCTTGCTCCCGCAGTATGAATTCAAGGCCAAGAACATCAAGAAGAAGAAGGTCAACATCGTCATCTCGGTGGACGGGGTGAAGGTGATCCTGCGCAAGAAGCAAAAGGTACGCGGAAGGCGGGGTGGCCTGGGAAGCTAAGCGGGGCCGGGCGTGGCTGAGATCTGGATGGGGACCCGGGCCCTGCCCCGAGCTGCCGGCGTGGGATCCCCACAGAAAACCCCCACCCGCTCTTCCCGCCGCAAGTGCAGGGCTCTTTGGGGAAACTGGTGCAAGCGGAAAGAGAACCTGCAGGCGTCTTGCAGCTCCGAGCCGGGGAAGGGCGGGCCTCTGGCACACCGGAAGAGAGCCCGCCCCGGTCCGTGCGCGGCTTCGGGGGCAGCCCTGTGCGCGTCGGGACGGGAGGAAGGGCCCCGGCGGGGGCACGCTGGCCGTCACAGGCCGTTCCCCCCGCTCAGCAAGCGAGGGCTGTGCCAGCAAGGGTTGCCCGTCCGGCCACTCGGTCCGTGGGGCCGTCCCAGCTCTTGGCAAGGGGCGGTTCTCCCGCCACCCGGCCTCGCAGGCTCCAGCATGTTACCACCTCTTCTAACACGCTCGCAAAACTGTTTGGCTCCCCAGAGGAAGGAACGAGCTTGGGACGAGGGCAGGATGGTGGTGATGCACGACCCGGTCTACAGGTGAGCCCCCCGCGCCCCCACCTCCCCACCGCCAGTGGGGAGGGCTCAGTCCCGAAGCAGGGGCTCGGCCGTTTTGCTGTCGCCGCTGGGCAGGTGGCCTCCAAAGATGCCACAGCACATGGGGGGGGACCCCTGCTTGCCGTGTCTCTCTTCCTCCCTCCGCCAGCGGAGCCGCAGTGGCCGGGCAGCACAGCGAGCACACCTGGGCCCCGATCCACGATGGTCTCGCGCTCTCTCTCGGTAGCTGGGCTGCGAGAGTCCCCTCCCGGCTTGTACCTCGACAGCAACGCTCGGTGGGCTGCCCAGGGCTTGGTAGGGACGAGGCCCGTCCCAGTGGAGGGGCCTTCGGGAGTCAGCAGGGCCCCTGGCCTGCCTGCCGCTGCCCGACCTGCTCGCCGCCTCTTCCCCCACACTGGGTGTGACGTGGGGGGGACTTGGGAACGGCTGTCTGCACGCACAGCCGGGAGCCGCCAGAGACGGGGAGCAGGGCACCGACTCCTCCTTCGCCGGCACACATCTCCTGCCGAGGGGCAAGGGACCGCAGGACAGGGCTCTCTTTGGTGGGGGGGGCCACTCGCTGAGCGGACCCTCGCCGGAGGCCCCGCTCCTCTGCATCCAAGTGGAGCGTGGCAGAAATGCGGCCCCCTGCACGGCTGTGGCAGATGCGCCAGGTGGCTGCGATCTGCGACGCCGAAGCGGCTAAGCTGCTAATGTGGCCCAGGCGGTGCAGCCTGTAAGCCGGTAATTCCCTCTCTGCCCTGACAATCCAGGCCAGGGCCTCGGGGTGGTTTCCAGGAGTGTGGAGGAGGGAAGGGGCCACGGGGCCAGCCCCGGCTGCGTTGCTGCCCCGGCCCAGCGGGAGCTGCAACGGGCTCACGAAGCCCTCACGCCTCTCCCCGCCTCCCTCCGCTTAGGATCTTCTATGTCTCGCACGACTCGCAAGACCTGAAGATCTTCAGCTACATCGCCAGGGACGGCGCCAACAATTCCTTCCGATGCAACGTCTTCAAGTCCAAGAAGAAGGTGAACGGGGCCGGGCCGGGCCGGGCCCACCGCCGGGGCCCCCGTTCCTCCCGCGCCCCCTGCTCACACGGGCGGCTCCTTCTCTCCCACAGACGCAGGCCATGCGCGTGGTGCGCACAGTGGGCCAGGCGTTCGAGGTGTGCCACAAACTCAGCCTGCAGCACGCGCTGCAGAACGCGGATGGCCAGGCCGACGGCGCCAGCAACAACTCGGCGGACGACCCCCACGTGGAAGGTGAGGGTTTGGACCGGGCCCGTCGTGGGTCTCGAGGAGGCCTTTGGAAAGGAAAGGAAACGGAGACCAGTAGAGGGGGCCTTCCTGGCATTAGCAGGTGGCGGAAAGCTGGAAGAGGCGCTGGGCGTGGTTCCCGAAGGCAGCCCTCCACCACTCAGGGTCGCCCGGCTCCCATCGGCCCCGGCCAGCATGCCCAAGGGGCGGGGAGGGAGGTCCTCCAAGCTGATGCAGAAGCAGCGCTAACATGGGACGGCTGGCAAATGCCAGCATGCAGCGCAAGGTTTTGAGGCACCGACCCGGGAGCACCCCCGGCTGTCCCATTTGGGTCTGAAGCCAGAGGGCTGGAAAAGGAGCCCCCGACGGCTGGGGAGCGGCTGGCGCGAGCGCAGGGCCATCCTCGGGCTGAGGGTCACCCGGCATCCCCTTCCCGCCACTTAAGCCTGTGGTTTCGGGCCACGGGGAACGGGGGCAGCCCCTGGAAAAGCGCTGTTGTAGTTGCCCTCCCCGCCGCGGGTTTCTTTTCCCGGGGTTCGATTTCCTGCGCCTGGCTGGCCTCGCCTGGACCCTGCTCCAGACATTCGGGGCTCTTCTCTTCTCGCTTGCCTGAAGGTTTGCAGCTGGCCGGGCCGGCCATGGCGGATGGAGAACACGCCCGAGCGGACTCTGACGGGACGTACCTCTCCGACTGCGGCGCCTGCGAGCTGCCCTTGGCGCTGCCCGACCTGGGGGCTCCGAACGGCGGGCCAGGCCTCAAGGACAGGAGCGGCCAGGTGGGGCATCTCACAGCAGCTTGCTTGCGGCGAACCCCGCATCTGTGCTGCCTGCACGCCGCCCCTGCCTCCCCAGGCCGCCCGGGGGGGGGGGGCGCTCCGGGACTTTGGCCTCTCAGATTCCTTGCAAGGCCGCATGGTCCCGGGCAAGCGGGCACTGGAACACGGGCATTCCCAGTCCGATCCTGTAAGATGGCTGCTTCCCAGTGAGGACTCGCGCGTGGCGGGAGCCAGAGACCACGCGGGCCCTGCAGAGAAGGCTGAGCTGGGGATGGGCCCTGGGCAGGAAAGGCCTTCGGAAACCCACCCTAAAGAGGGCCGGCGGATCCCTGCAGTTCGGTGGGACCGCGACCTGAGTCACCCCCCCTGTTGTCGCTTCCAGGACAATGAGAAGGGCTCCCTCTGCCCCTCCGCCGGGCAGCCCCTGGGCAGCCCCGGCAGCCCCTGCTCGTCAGCCTCGGCCACCCCGCTCGCCTCCCAGCACTGCCTGCAGCTGCTTCAGCACCAGCTCCTCCAGCAGCAGCAGCAGACGCAGGTGGCGGTAGCCCAGGTAAGCCTCGCCTCGGCCCACCTTGCCCTGGCGCCAGACGCCGCGTTGAGGAGCCCCTGGGGAGGCCAGACTGACCTGTGGCCCCCTTGCCAGAGTGTGCTGCAAGCTGTCTTGGGGGGTCTGCCGTGAAAAGGGGCAGGCAAGCCGCCTACGGCCAAGTGGGGGGGGGTCGAGGTCTGGCTCGGGGGCCCCAGCCAGCTCCCCCGGGGTCCCACGCAGGCTCTCCAGCGCTCCGCCGCGCCCCCCTTGCCCAGCCGCGGCCAACTGGCCATCGCCTGCTTCGGGGCTGCCCACAGGCCTCGGGCTGGCCACCGCTGGGGGCAGGATACTGGCCACAATGAGCCCTGGGCCGCCTCTGAGCGACTGCCTCGCCGTCTCTTCCCGGCAGGTGCAGCTGCTGAAGGACCAGCTGTCCGCCGAGACCACGGCCCGCATCGAGGCCCAGGCCCGCGTGCGGCAGCTGCTCCTGACCAACCGCGACCTCCTCCAGCACGTCTCCCTGCTGGTGCGGCAGCTCAAGGAGCTGGAGATCAAGGCACAGCTGCGGCACCCCGGTGAGGGCCAGGGGACCGCCCCGCTCAGCGGGGCCCCCCGGGACACCGAGCGCTGCCCAGAGGCGGTGGCCTCGTCGCAGGCGGTTCCAGGCAGCCTGTCTCCCCACCGGCGGAGCAAGTGCCCCTCGCAGGAGGGGCATCGAGCTGCTGCCAGCCCGAGACCCAGGCCCACGTCCGAGGCGCCCTTGGGTGCTGTTCCGGTGGGGGAGGCTCCAAAGGCAGAGGGGGAGGCGGAAGGCGCTTCAGCACGAAGGCCCTCCCCACACGCGTGGGACGCGGCTGTCTCCGGGGTGAGCGGACGTCCACGTGGCTCGGAAAGCCCACGATGGGGCCGGCCAGAGGCTGGCGGGAGCCCTTGGCATGCGGCTTCGAGCCCCCTGCGACGGAGGCTGCCTTCTGGCGCAACTTGCCGGCTGCGCGGAGGCCGGGCCGGCCTTGGGCTTGGCTCGCTGCGGCTGGGTCCTGCGTGCTGCCCAGAGCCTCTGGCGCCACTGACGCCTCCCCCTCTCCCTGCTTCGTCCCCAGCCGATCGCTCGCTGCAGAACCTCACCCTGGCCCAGTCCCTCTCCCTCAACCTGAAGAACCACTACAGCCTCGAGATCAGCCTGCCGTCCACCTCGACGCCCTCCAGCCTCCTGGGCAGCCCCGTGGCCCTGCCCCGCACGTGCGAATCCTACCTGAACCTGGCCAGCCTGGAGGCGGGGGGCGTGGAGCCGCAGGAGCACCTCGCGGTGCTGGAAGGGCCGGAAGGCCTCCGCAGCGTCGAGGGCTCGGAGGCCGCCGACTGCGCTGCGCCCGGCAGGGCCGGCCAGCAGACGAGCGACAAGCCGGGTGCAGCGGCGCAGGAAGAGAGGTAAGCGATCGCGGTGTCTGTGGCGCGCACGCTCGTCCCGATCGGAGTGGTGCGGAAATGTGCCGCGGGGCGCAGGGGCCCTCGGGCAGCACCCCGGCCCCGTACTGCATCTTGCCCTTGCTTGATGGGGCTTGGACACGTTCGGGGCCAGGAGAATGTCTCCAGGCACAGGAGCGCCGTGTCCCGGAACCGCTCCGCTTCCGCCCTCTCCCCATCCTCCTCCTGGTCAAAGAAGCTGCCTCCACAGAGCCTTCATCGCCTTGCCCAGGTCTTACTGCCGCCTTGCCAGCCCGGGGCAAGCAGACGGCACCTCCCATCATCTCCAGTGGTGCTGGAGGGCCGCGAGCTGGGGCGGCCCAGCCTGCCCTGACTGTGGAGAAGGCGACCGGCGACGTTGGCGGCCCGGCTCTCCAGCCCGGAAGGCACTTCCGCACCCCCTGCTACCTGCTCGCCTGCCCGGAGAGGCCCAGAGTGGGACCGGGGCCCCCGTCTCACAAAGCCCCGGCCCCGAATGCGGATTCGCAGAGCCCTCCAGCAAGGGCTGCCCTTGGGTGAGGGGTGCGTGGTCGCAGGCTCCCTCTTCCTGGGCTCACGAGCCAGCCACACAAGCCCGGCACTGACCCCGTCCCCTCTCCCTTCTCCCCTTCACAGGTCACAGCCCTTCATCCCCAAGCTGAACCCCCCTCCGCCCACCTTGAGGAGGCGGTCGAGTAAGACCGCCCCACCCTGCCTGGAAGCCGAGACCGCCGCCCCCGTCGCCTGCACGGCCGCCGGCACGGGGACCTCCCCCCTCCCCAGCACCGCCCTCCTCTCCCTCTCCGCCCCGGAGCCTGAGGCTCGGACGCTGCGGGGAGGGCCGGCACCCGGCCCGGCCGAAAACCGAGGTCACCTGAGCCAGGAGCGAGCCGGGGAGGATGAGCCGGCCCCGCGGGCGAAGGGCCTTCTGGGTCACGCGGAGAAGGGCCTGACGAGGAACTCGGTGGCCAGCTTGGACATCTCGTGGCCCTTCTCCGCAGACGGCAACGAGACACGGTTGCACATCAGCCTCTCGGAGGACGAGCTCGACAAGAGCGGAAGCTGCGTCGCTCGTGCGTGAGCCCCGTCTGGGGACGGGCTGGCCGTCGCTGGGTGCCTGGGACCGTGGGGGCGCAGCGGCTACCGGACGGCACCTCAGGGCCGGCTGCAGGCCTCGAACGCCCCAGGCCAGTGGCCGGCAGGTTCCGCGAGGGAGGCGCCTTCGTGCAGGCGGGAGGTGGCATCCAGAACGCCGTGCCCAGACCGAGGCAGCTCGGGGCGTGGAAGACGGCCCTGGGGCAGGCTTCCGCACAGGCCGGCGCCTCCGCGAATGCCAGAAAATGACCTGAGGGCACTGACGGGGTTACACCGGATGCTCGGCCGGCGTGGGCCTGGCTGACCTCTGATGGAAAGAGCCTGTAAGAACCCCGCAGAAGCCAGGACGCAAACTGCAGCAAAGAAACCCCAGGGCCGCTGGGTTCTCCTCCCCGCACAGGAGGGACCTGGCTCCATGTGCAGAGTGCTTGCTCTGTGCTGCAGTCCCCATAGCCAGGGAAGGCTCGCCACGAACCTGCACCCAAGGGACCGGGAGGCTCATTGCGGGCAGCCTGCCACACAAGGCGGGGCTGGGGGGTGCCGGTGGCACTGAACAGCCCACGGAGATCAGCACCAGAGAGTCCCCCAGGACTCCGTGATTCTGTCCAGGTGTGGCGAATGCATTCAGGTGTATTCTGCCTGAAGTCAGGTATGACAGAGGCACAAATGCTTTCCAGGTTGGAGGACTGAGGAAGCCCACCAAGCAGTTGCTGCGGCCAACAGGAGCCAGCGCAAGGCTGCCTTGGTGGCAAGCCCCGCCGCACGGAAGGCCCGGCCCCTCTCCGCCTCCGCCCCCCGCACAACAAAGAGCGCTGCCTTGCAGCCCCATGAGCTCATCTTTCCCGCAGAGAAACCGCTGGTGCAGTTCTGCTCCAGCAATTTAATTGCTGGGGTGGAAGCCACTGTGGGGGATTTCTGGGGAGAGCTGGGGCCACCCACCTTTCCCCGAGAGCCCCACCCACCATCCCCGGCTCCCATTTCTCCTCTGAATCCACAGCAGCCCTTCCATCGCTCCACGGGACAAGCCAGTCGTTCTGTGGCTGCTGGGAAGGGTTTGCTTCGTAGGCTCTGCCAGTGGCAAAGACAGCGCTGGTCTCCCTTCCTTCCTTCCTTCCTTCCTTCCTTCCTTCCTTCCTTCCTTCCTTCCTTCCCCCTTCTCCAGCGGACTTTGTTTTCTGAGGCAGGGGAAAGGCGTGAGCAGTGCTCCCGGGGGCTGGCATGGCCGATTCCGTTTTCCTGCCCCACTTTTAAAACCAGGCAGATAAAATTCGAGGGCTTTGAGCCGGTCGGGGTGCTGAAATGGGCCACTCCAAGACAGTTAAGTCGCACCCGAGAGCAGGCAATGCAGAGCGGAATGAGGATTCAGTGTTTAAGGGGGCCACCCGGTCCAATTTTGTCGCCCCAACAAAAATATTGTGTTCCCGACCCCGTTGCCCAGCGGGGGGAAGAGGAGTGAGGAGAAGTTTCTGTGTGCGGCATTTTCAATGCTTGCTTCTCTGCTAAGGGGCAGTTGAAAAGTGGTACCTACTGGAAAAGGGAACTACTTGGCCTTTCAAGGGGCGTTTGCCTCACTGCCAGAAGAGGAAGCATCTCCGTGAGACGTCCCTGGGGGCTTCCCGCTCCCAGTAGCCCTAGCGCATACGGTCAGTGGAGATGGGAGCTGTGGTCCCCGGCCGTGGAAGCCTGCAGATTTTCCATGCCTGCTGCAGATATGCGGGGAGGTGCTTCACAAACGCTCAGAGGCGTTCAGCCTTGAGGTGGGACCAAATGGGGTGCACAAACTGTTGCGTTGTGTGAATGCAGGCCCCGTTCGGCTGTGCGCGTTGTCGCCGGCCTGACGACAGGGACTCGGTGCACGGCTCGGCTCGGCTCGATCACACCTCTGCCAGGCTGAGAAAAAGGCAGACCCGACAACTTGAAAAGCCGTGCAGCAGAGGCAGAAAGCACACTGTGCTTGTGGGAAGTGCCGGAGGAGGGAAGGAAAGTTGGGAGTCAAGTCGTTAAGAAGGAAGACTGGGGGCAGTGGGACTTACAGGAGCAGGAAAAATGTCTGGAAGAGGATGCTGGGGGACAGGCATGGGGGAGTCCGGAGGATGTCCTTGGGCCAGCGCTGCAGGATCGATCACGCGCCAGTCCTGGGAGAAGCTTCCCCTGTGGGTGGAGGAGGCCCAGTGGGGAGCAGCAGTTTTGGTGGCTTCCAGGAGGGGCTGCCCAGCCCCTCTCGGTCGCCGGAGGACGGCTTGGGACAGTCCGCGAGGCTTCTGCCTCGCACCTCTTGCTGCCTTGGCACAAACGCCACGCCTCAGGACGCAGGTCAGAAAAGCGGGCTTCGGACAGACGGCCCCTGCCTCTCGCGGTGGGCTGGAGGGCATCCTGTATGGGTGGGGTTGGGCCAAAATAAGCACGCACAGGGGAAGTTGAGCATGTGTCAAAGGTTGTGTTGGGGTGACATGGCCTGGGCCGCCAGGCAGCCCTCTGCAGGGATGGCGCACGTCCCACAGAGCCGGGCGGCCCCTCGAGAGGGACGGCGTGGGCACCGCTGCGAAGGGGAGGCCGGGCCCTGAGGGCCCCTCGGAGCCGGCGACGAGAGCTGCCGGCCAACCCACAAAAAGGGTCCATGCGCCTTGGTCTGTGTTCGACATGCAGAGATGGGCTCACGCGACACAGTTCCGCGCGCATGGCTGTGCACCGAGGCAGTTCGGGCCGCTTGCGCACGGTGTGGCCGAGAGGCGAGCTGAAGGGCAGTCGGCAGCCCGGTGGAGACGGGCGCGGGGGGAGAAAGTCCGCAGTAAGATGGCCCTTGTCCGTGGGGAGGGGGTAGCACATGTGGGGTAGCGCCGGGTGGCCAAGGCAGCGACTCAGACGGCGCTGCTCCGCCGGCCTTGGGCACGTGCCCCGTGCCATCGGTGTGGGCGGGGACGTGTTTCGAGGGACAAGGCGAGGTGTGGCTGGTTCTCCGGCTGCGACACCAGAGAATGCGCAAGAGCTTCGCCACCTGGGCGCATGGGCCCCCGCCGCAAGCACAAACCACCCGCCGGCCAAAAGCGGGCTTGCGGCTCGCGTGGCTTTTCCTCTTTGGCCCCCCCTGATGCCCCACTTCTCCAGTTACTCTGCCTGCAAGTTAAAACAGGCTCCCACTGGAGGGGAAATGGGGGGGGGGGGGGAAGGGAAATATCGGGGGGGCCCTTCCTTCCCCCTGGGGGGTTGCCAGCTTTCTCGGGGGGGGTGCCCCCCCCGCGCGCACGACGTGTTGCATGGCATCTCTTGTTGCAGAAGAGCCGGGGGGGGAGGTTACTTGCATCCCCCCTTTTTTTAGGGGGGAGTATTGGGTTCCCCCTTTCCGTCAGAATCCTCATACCGCTCGAGCTCTCAAACATGACTCGGAAATCCCTAATGTCCTGCTCCCAGGAGAAATCCCAGTAGCTCATGCAGACTGCGAAGGAGCCAAGCCCCCCACCCCAAATGCCTTCTCACGAGTGGCTCCGTTCCCTTCCTAGAAGTCCATACTAGGCCAGCTTTGGAGCCAAGCTCATTCCCCTCAAACCACACTCAGAGCTGGCAAGTGGGGCGAACCTCTGTAATTAAAGCTGTTTGGAAACGGGGGGGCTGGGGAACGGGGTTATTTTCCAAACGTGTTCTGCAATTTGCTATTGGAAGCTAACCGAGATGGGGAGAAGGTCTGGTTTTATTATATAAAGCATTCAGTGTTGTTGGGACCACGAGTAAAATTGCAGGCTCCTTTCTCTTTGGATTGGCATCTTGGTCTCTTTCTTGATGCTCCAATTTCTTTGGGAAGTGCATCCCACACACCTCTTGCCC